TCTTAATATTATCCTATTTAATTTGGCAGCTCTTAATTTCCTGTTTATTTTAAAAAGAAAGTCACAGAGTCATGATCTTTGCTCACCAACACAAAACACTGTGTCAAATACTCAGATGCCCAGAATAAAGTGACATGAAAAGGACACTCATGTAGTAGATTTGTTCAGAAAGGCTATTCTCACTCACTCTCTTCAGAGCAGTTGAACATTTTGCCAATCATCACAACAATTTTCTCACAGCATTCTCAAGTGTGGGGGAAGATAAGCTCTTATGTTTTCCAAAGCAACACTGCATCTTCTCAGTAAGAAAAATCAGCAATATAACCAGCTCACCAAGTTAAAGAAAAGCCAGCTAACCTGCAACAGGCAAGGGGTAAAACACAGTATCACACTAACTTACCAAGATGCTAGTTCAGACTGGACTATCATGTGGACTTCCTAAAAAGAAGTAAATTGTTGTATCTGAGTAACAGTTCCAAGTTTCTTCAGTATTTTAGTAATTTATGAAGACTTTGGCACTTTTGTACTGAATATGAAGCAGGCAGACTGTAGTACAGTTATGCTGTCTGAATGCCAACACCAAAACAAAGCATTTCTTTTGAAATCAGAGCCATGGCCCACTCTATCACACAACTACCAACAAAATCTATCTGCAATTTAAGAAAGTGGAGCACAAGATAGAACTAAGGGAGTTACCTAACAGTCAGCTGGTACTGTGATGTAAAGAAAACACATATGAGATACTATTTTAAGACAGCTTACAAATATGCTCTTTATTAATAAACCATCTACAAGAATGCAGCACTGTATGTATTTTTCCTCTACCTGCTAACTCTACTTCCTTTAGTAGGCAGGATGCAGAATTCAAAAAAACATCAAAACAAGCTAATCCTTGGAATTTTCAGTAGCTGCATTTTGAACTGTGTTTGCATTATTGTCCCACTAAGTAAACCTGTTACAGGTCTCATTGTCACCACTGCAATTAACTTTACAGTGAGGAAAGCATAACCTGTTACTCCTCTAGCCACGTTTTTCAATTCAGACACACAGTGAGTTGTGCCTATTTGCTGAATAACGAGGCATAACAATTAACTCTTCACAACATCTGTAGAACAGCTTCTCATTTTGAAGCCTAGCCAGTTAACATAAAAAACCAAACACGTCACTAGCTGCCTTCTGACACTTGGATTTGTGTTTCAGATTAAAATATTGCTTCTTTGTAAAAAGGCAACCAAAAAGCTAAGGCTTGAGCTTTTATGATCCTCATCCAACGACCACCACCTAGTAAAAAGCAACCATTTCCTCAATACTTACCCTTAAGTAGAGGCTTTCCACTGTGTTCCAGACATTGCAGGAATTCCCCTTTAAGAAATATTTTGGAACAAGGTCATTGATTTAACTATGCTTTTATCCCTTAACAGTTCAACAGTTCTTTAAAGTTGTAACTGACAAGCTTCCCAAAGAAACTTTCAATCTACTTGTTTCAACAGAAATACCAAGTTTAACAAGCACATCTGCATGAAAACCAACGATGCCAGCTGCTGAAATACTGTAGCACTGCTTTTTGAACACCCCATCAGGAAGATACTGCTGGGTGCAGATACCATACAGTGCACAAATTAGTCTGATTACTTGCTGTGGAAATAGTACTTGTCTGAAGAAATCTAATACTCTTATGCTGAAGTGCAGAAGAAACACAAAGCTCACCTCTTTTGGTAACACACTCCACAGAAGTCCACCAAAGTAATAGATTTGTACATCAGAAGGCCAGCAAACAGCTGTAAGAATTCAAGCACTTCAGAAAAGTTGCAACTGCTCACCGCTGCAGAGCTGGTGTGTTCATCTGCAAAGTCTGGAAAGAAATCGATATAACTGAACTGCAAATCTGGAACACGAAGCTCATGTCCCAGATTCATCAGTATTTGAATGAATTGCTGTTTGAATACATGCAAATATTGTCCCTTCATATAAGTAACACAACTAATATGTTCATCAGCTGTGGGTTGCAAAAGAAGGGTTTTTTCTAAGCACTAGGTTCCAGGTTTTTGTCTACAGCAACAGACAAAAACTGAACACGTGCTGGAACAGACTGAATGCATCAGCCGTCATTTTTCCACTATTTTTGAAACAACATTTGAAGCTATTTCTCAGTTTACTACATGCTTACCACTAGTAACTGTCACCTTCCACTACCGTGTTTTCTATTGTTAGAGACAGGTAACTCTGGCAAGAAGTTCAATATCGGATATGCTTGTTGTAAGAACAATTTATGCTGTGTCAGACCAGTACATTATCTAGTCCAGTACCTTTACTACAGCAATAGCCAAATAAGGTGCCCTGTTGCTATCCTCTTACTTAAGTATGTTCTTGTAAGGTTTCATTACTTGCCCAGCTTTAGCTCAGGGCTTCCCATGTTAAAGATGTTTTCCTGTCCAGTAATCTTACACAGTGTTTTCTTCCATGCTATTTCGTATACTCCCCTGAAGCCACACAAGCTTGGTAACATCCTACAGGAAGAAGTCTCACAGCTTTAGGAACATATACATACAAGACTACCAGCTTCTTTCTGCTGTTCCTCCTGTTCTTGCACGGGACGTGCATTAAGATGAAATTTTGCCATAGGGAAGCAATCAGAAGCTGCAGCTTTATGATACAACCTGGTACAGAAAGTGTGGGTGGGGCACCACCAGGAGACTAAGTGTACAGTAGTGCTCCAGCACCTTCAGCAGAGATGATCCCAGGTAGTGCCCAAACCAAATTAGATAGATTAAGCTGCCCTGCAGCATTCAACATCAGGTAAGAGCAAAGTATTTCTATATTAACTTCTAACAAAACTGCATTTAATATACAGATATTAAAGAACTCAAAAAGTTTACATTCAAGTAGAGGCTGCAGGCTCTAATTTTGGTCAGACTGGTATAAGAGATGTCGCACTGACCTCAATACCTTGGAAGCTTCACACGGAAGTTTCATAGCTACGAAACACTGTAATGTATTCGTACTTGAACTATAAAACACTTTTTCCAAAACATTCTGTGAAGCAAAGCAAGAAAGCTACCTGAAGAAAACAGGAACTGCAAACCAAGTAACAGCTTACCTTGCACATCAAGAAAACTGAGCAGCATTTTATCTTCCAAAAGCAACATAAACTAGAAGAAAAAAAGTAAAGTGGTAAGAACTATCAGGCAAGATCAAATAACTGAAGAGTCTTAAAGACAAAAGCTAGGTTTCAGCAACCAGTTTCACAGTTGTAATAAGCCTGATTTTCATGTATATTTATCCAGTTCTAATCAGAATTAAAATTTAGTTCATTTCTGAGTCACTCAGCAGTTGAACAGAAAAATTCATCACATGAACTGCAGAATGAGCGAGACTCTCACATACCACCTCGCTACGCCTTACCAAGCAAGAACCCCACTCCTAGATCCAGGATGAGTCTTTCAAGCCATAGAGTATTTCTCAGGTAGATGCCTAAAAGAGTTACATTTAGCCATTAATTTTGGACCAGTATTAAATGTGATCTTCAACTACTGAAGAGTAATTTTTGCAAGTCTCACTCCTGAGTTACCAAGTCACAACTGGGAACCCCCAAACTTCCTTTACAAAGATTTGGGACCTTAATTCAAGCATATAAGGAATGCAGCTTGACCTGCTCTCATTCTACATAGCACCTACTGTAAATCTCCTCCGACTCTCAACTACATGTTGAAGGAATTTAAGCCAGCAGACACTAAGTCTTTTTCTGACAACATCCCTGTTTGCAGACTACTGTTACCTGCTGACAGTTTGTTGCTGACAGAGATGTGGTTATTAGACTATGAGTGAGACAGATGACCCTTTGGTTATTTGCATCTTATTGATTCACAGGTAAATTTTTCAAACAGTGTTTTTATTTCTACTGCTACCAAGACAGCCATGTCATCTAGGAGTTAGCCACATTTAGACCACTTCTAAACAGTAATTAGTCATGTTTCCAACTGTCTAAAACACCTTTGATAAAGGTATTTGCATTTTGGGCAATGCTTGTTAAGTACTGTCATTATAAACAGCTTTCATCTTCTGCTTAGTCATGTTCACATCAGACCCCATTCTGGACAGAGGAGTGCAAGAGGGGAAAAAGAATCTTTTAATTTAAGATTCACTGTGCTGCTACAGTTATTTTTAAGGTAACTTAACTTCATATTATTTTATTAGACTCAGGAGCAGAGAACTAGTTTTCTGAAAAGTTATTCTGCATGGAATAGACAACCTCAATCACACAAACTGATTTTATTATCGTTTGAACGCATTAACCATATTTTGCAATAGACTTTTGTCCAAGTTCACTAACCACTTCTGCACTTTTGCTGTCGGCACAAAGATTTGCATTAAACTTCAATTCTGTCTTCAACCCTTACTCAGCTCTCAAAGTATTTCAAAGCATAACCTGCATTTCCATAAGATACAGAAGAATAATCCCTCAAGTACCACTCAAAAGTCAGCTACGGAAGAGAAAGGCTCCAAATTACCCTTTGTAACATGAGCATGTATATGTAAGCATGCAAATGCATACACTTTTCTATACTGTGCTGCTATGTTACAATATCTGGAATTGTTTTCCTATTTTTAGTTACATAAATTCCATGATCCGTTGGGTTAAAAGAAGTCAAGTTGCAGAAGCCAGCATTTCAGCAAGATTATCAGCCACTGAATCAAGGATATTATACACTTGATACAGGGCAGCACAGAAGATACGTAAAAGCTTACCAAAAAGTCAGATTATACTTGTTTTGCAATCATCTCGGACACAAGCCCAATATACTCACCTTAAACCAAATCTGACTAGGTTGCTTGGCTGATAGCTCAACACTGACTTCAGACCAGTGTTTTAAACCAAGGAGGCCATGAAAAAGGTATCTGAAGAGTGATCACTGCCACCTCATTTGTTAGTTTTCTGTTCACAGAGGTGAACCTTGCAGAAGCCAAGTTCTCAGCAGCGTAGTCATCTTCCTCGACTTCTATCACTTTACAGTTGATTTTGCACATTTCGTTTCTGGCTTTGATTTTTTCTTACTGGGAATTTTGCTGCTTATAATGAAAGAGCTATTCTCCTAAGAAAATAAAAGACAGAAGTATTCACAAATCTAGTTTTGAGGTATTTTAAAGGTAAGATTCTGGTAGTAACTTTGCAAACTTTAAGAACTCTTCAGAGAACTCCAGAATTCCTACACATTCCAGCATTATTTCAAGGAGGAGAGCATGGACTCTCAGAACAACTTCCCTCTGTATTACAGATCAGGATTCACAGTTAACTCTGGATCTAAGCTCAAGAATTAAGTACTCAAAACATTATGTACTATTTCTTTAACCTCAGAAGAGAGAGAAGGTTAGAGAGTTTCTGCAGTTAAGGAATATTTACTCACCACTACTCTGGCATCAAGGTCCTCATGATTATCAGAATTCAAGCAGTTATCATCACTGAAATGTAAAAATTCAAATCAAGCTCTGTACTTTTATAGTAGCCTAAAATGCGTGAACTATTTTCCTACCACAATCCCTGGTTTCTCTTAATGTGTATGGAAGTGCTATAGCTTGTAGGTGTAAGATAACACTGCTTCTACATAAGGTTGTTCTCAAATAGTAAGTTTCTGACAGCAGAATTACATCCTCACTAGCAACACCAGCAGGACAGAAGCAGCACATAGCAGCAGAACAAAGATGTAGTAGTAGACATCAATAGTAGTATTGATGTTTAGGAGTACACTGGCAACCAGGCTAGAAAGTCAGCGAGTCAGAAAACAAGCTGAATACAACCAAGAGAATAAGATATGCCACAGCTAACAAGGAGTGCACACCTATCTTCCTGATACTGTAACTGAGAAATACTATCTCCATACTGCCATGAAACAAGTATGAAATTCAGTTGCACTACTGTCCACAGGTTTTTCTCTTGAGATAGAGAGAACCCCCCAAGAAAGAGACGAAGCCATTTTAGTACAATGGTTTCAACAAGTGGCACCAGGAGTACTGGCTCCAAAACCTAGAAAGTCTTCTAGTACTCATCTTATATAAAGAATTGAGCGTCTCGATGAGCTGGCTTGCATTTATTCTACACAACTTCGTTTCTTCTGCTCTTTTTTAAGAGAGCAAAGTAATTGTTCTTACTCATTTTAAAAGGCTCACCCTAATACTTCAACTCACATAAATTAGCAGTTTAAGTGATTACTAAAGCAAACAGTAGCCAAAAGACAGCTTTGTACCTTTACACTGCCTTTTAGGCTTTCTAGTTTTAAGCTGCTGAATGTATTTACAACATTAAGTATTCTTGCTGATTTACTGATCTCTTTATTGCAAGTGAACTGTTTGACCATAAAGAAAGACCTAAAATGATACTTCAATGCTTAGTAAAGTAAAAAGGAAATTAAAAAATATCCTTTAGTCTCTGCCATAAAACACTCCCCTTCTTTATTTGGGATAAGTATAGAGGAACTAATTTCAGGCAATACCTTTTTTTTTAAAAACATTTCTATCATGTCATTTTAATGAGACAGTACAAATCACCACCTGAAACAATGATCAGTCTTTAGATTAAAATTATCTCATTCTGTGAGAAGGTCCAAGTCACACTTACAAGCACAGAATCCCAAGTGGCTGAGTGTTTTGTTCCCAAAATAAACAATGCTTTCATAAGCAGATATTCACATTTAGATTAGGCAATGTTGATACAGGCAAAAAGGACAGCATAGGAACTGAACTTCATACACCTACAACTCCGTCGCAAAAATTGCAAGCTACTACAAGCAACTGTACTACCTCCTGAATTCCTCAGCTGTAACAGAAGCAGATTGTACTGGTCTGGCTGGGATGGAGGCAGCTTTCTTTACAGCAGCCTGCATGGTGCTGTTTGGATTTGCAGGTAAAGCAGTGCTGATGCCCTCTCCACACCAGCAAACAGACTGGGGGTAACCAAGAGCTGGGGGACTGGGGTGGGGTGTCATGCATCTACCTGTATACACACAAACTTGTATTTTAGTTAAGAACAAAAAAGGAAGTTTTATACCACCTAAAAACATAAAGACAAACTTACTTCGTCTCCTGGATAGGGGAAATGGGGCCTTCATCATCTAAATATTTGTGTTTCCGTACTGCCAGACATTCTCTTTCTAAGTCTTCACTAGCCTGAAGGGCTTTTAAAGCCTTTTTGAGATGTTCTTCATATTTAAGTACTTCAACGTACTGGAAATATCCCTTTGCAGCTGCTTGCTGAAGAAAAATGCATCAGGTGAGATCTTAAAAATATCACTATAAAGCAAATAAAGCATTTCTATTATCAACTGAATGGTAATATTGACACATGTATTTTATCTGTGTTTGTCTTAAAGGCATTAAACAGACAACAAGTGTCCTGTTTAACAAAAAAAGATTTGTTACATTGTAGCACATCAAGTAGAAGCCCAAGATACCTAATTTAAACTCACTCTTTTTAGACTAAACACGAAAATAAGACATTCATCCCACAAAACAGAGGACTCACCTCATAGCCAAGAACCATCTTTAAAGGAATGTGTTTCTTCCCATAGTGTTTTTCAACAAAAGGGAATTGAAAACCTCTATCTAGGAGCCTTCTCTTTTGTTCTTGTGGTGATGCTGTCAGTGGCGGCCTCCCCGTAGGCATCTGTGTGCTCTCATACTTTTTCTTCTTCTTCCCTGAGCCACCCTTGTATCTTCGGTGTGCAGCAGCCTTAAACTTCTTTCCCCTGAAGTGATAGGCAAAAATGGCTTTCAAATTGAGTTTTGACTTCTGCTTTTTGGAAGTTTCTGATGATTTCACTGGACTTTGAGGAGACAGAGAAGAATCTGAACTTTCACTGTCAGGCACTCCCACAGTAGATTCTGCTTGTTGCCTTGAAGGTTGAGCTCTCTCTTGGTTTGAAGTTGCAATGGAGCGCTGAGGATGGTATTCGCTGCCACTAGCAGCAGAGAGGCTGCTAAAGAAGAAACCATATTTACTTTCACAAGAATGTATACTTCTACAATGTATCACACACATTCTCTACATGAACTAGAAATAAAAACTCACATTTCCGAATCACTGCTGTCCAGGATAACTCCAGCTGAAGCAGCTGATGATTTACATATACCGTTAAGCTGATCTGAAGACTCCTCAGGAGCAGCATTCTTCTGCCTTGAACATGAACGCTCCATTTGTGTATTTGTTTCACATGCATGTACCTTATATGGTTCTTTCTGCTGACTGCATATTAGCTCTTGGGCATCAGGGTAATCAGAGCCAGAAGCCTGGGATTCATCTGTATCAGTCATGTTTCAGTTTGCCCTAAAAATCAATGAGAAGTCAAGGAATTAAAGAAGCCTTTAATTACCCCAACAGGGTAAAGCTACAAGAACAATCTATGAGCAAACTTCAGCATAGGTACTAACCTTCAGAGTAACAGTTAAGTTGCAGCCACTTATCTCAAGATATTCATAGCATAATTTAAGTTAGAAGGGATTTTTACAGCTCTTCTGGTCCAACTCCTGCTCAAAGCAAGGCTAACCTGAGTGGCATGAGATTATTCAGAAACTTGTAGAGATGAGTTCTGAATGTTTTAACCCTCTCCCAACTAGGAATAAGTTTTCCCTTAAATAAGTACACATACATGTAGCCAACAGCTTCTTGTACTTGTAAGGATACTGCAGTTTTAATTCATAGACAAATACTCACTGATCTAAGACAGTGTCACCACCAGAAGCAATGCCACCTTCCCTCTGTTCTTTTGCTAGCTACATGATACCTAAAGCCTCCTGCTCTAACAATCTATCCGCCCTTTGTTCACTGGTTATCAATCAACATGGAGACTAGCTCCATAAACAAAACATTAACTTTCAGTTGAATCTGCAAGACAACCCAATCTACCCTTCAGCTGCCCTAGTCTATATAAAAGGGACTGAAACACACAGCAGAGGAGCCCATCCTTCCTAGGTAATAGCCTCAAGTTACTTTACCTGCTTGTTAGTCATTTACTAGCCCTGTAGATCTCTATCTTTGTAATTTTACTGTGCTTTTTACAGTTTCACAAACCCATCATCATACCCATTAATATTTCAAATGTAGTTACACACAATTTAGCATCTGAAGACACTACAGCAAAACTCATCTAATGTCCTTAGATAATCTGCTGCTGTCTGGATAACAGTTTCATGCTTCAGAGTACAGGTTACTGCACAGATTCAGGAAGGCAACTTCCCAAAAGCATGGGAAGACAAAAGTATGCAACAGCAAATTGAGAAGTCTGAAAATACAGTAGATGCATACGGACTAGCAGTAAAGAATAAGAATAGCAGGCCAAAACAAATGGCTATAGAACATGAACAGCCATGGACTGCTCACAATAGCAAGTTCCGTTTCTTCTCTAACCCATACAGCCACAGTGATCTCCAAGTTATTCTCAGAACAGAGAGGATAAAAATACCACAAATCTGCTGCAGCCATACATCAGCGACTGATTTTTAAGCAGTCTACATTTAGATGACTTTTTGCATCGTCTAACTGTTCACGGCAGAACCTACCCCGCTACATTTTTCAAAATGAAAGTATTTCGTTCCAAAACGGCATTAAATGCAGGCTCAGAACTACACTAGACCTTAAACTCACCCAAATGCACTTAAAATAACAGCACGGGGGCCCAATCTGCCCTCCACTGTGAAGAAAGGTGATTTTTGACACCAACCGGCACCTATGCCCAGGACCCTGCAGGCACACCGCTAACACCGGTTCACCCAAGGCCTGACAAACACAACGCCCAGAAGCGGAACAGCCTCACAGCACAGCAGCACACCCGACGACGGCACCCCAGCCACACAGGCTGC